GCGGCCGGCCCCCGGCGGCGGGCGGCAGCGCGCTTGGGCCGTTATATACCGTGGGCAGCAGCCGTGCCCTTGCTTCACCTCGCCGCTGTTTGCTCAGGGGGGTGAAGCAATAGCGAGGTTAAACGCGGGACTGGCAGCAGCGCCCGGGTGGAAAAGGCACCGTTTGCCACCGCAGTGGCTCTTGTTCTCGAGAGCCGCGTGAAGCTTGTGGGTGTTTGCGAAGCAGCGTGCTGGCCCCGTGTGAGTTTAAGCTCAGGGATTTGGAGGGGCCCCAGCACAGCCAGGACCTTCCTGGCCGCTCCGTGCCTGCAACGAGGGCTCCGCGATGCCCGGGGGGGATGTGGGTGCCTGGGGGGCTGTGGGTGCCCGGGGGTGGTCACGCTGCTGGCCACAGTGCACATCAGCGAGTGCTTTTGGGGCAAGGTGTGGGGATGAGCGCACGGCAGTCACCATGACCTGCTCTGGAGTTTCGGGTACGAGATCTTATGGGGGGGCACTGTTTAAACCTCTCGAAGCCCCAGGACAAGCTCATCCCATGCAGCAATGTCAAGTGGAGGCATCTGCCCATGGCTGTGTCCACGTCAGGAGTGCTGTGGCAGTGACACTGCCACCCGGGTGCCCAGGACGATGCTGCACTGGCGACTGTGGGAGAAACATGGTTTTTGCTTTGCTGGGTCCAGACCAGGTGATTTTTGCTTTCCAGGGGTGTTACGGGGCTCTCTGCTCCTCTCAGTGCAGCAGCACGAGCTGTGAATTGCTGCCGTCGGGGTTGGGAGCGCGGCTTGGTTCAATTATGGACCCAAATGGCCACTGGAGCAGCGATCGCCTGGGATCTGCTGGCTGTGGGTGCAAGGCGAGGGAGCACCCCAGGCGCTGGGCTCAGACTTACAAAAGTTATAATAGAATGCTTATGGTTGAAAGGGACCTTTAGACACACGCAGGGTCACCCAGAGCATGTGGCACAGTACTGCGTCCAAGCAGGTTTTGGAGATCTCCAGAGAAGGAGCCTCCATAACCTCTCTGGGCAGTCTGTCCATGGGATAAGGATGGGATAGGTGCACTATTTCTATTAGGTGCAAATATATTTCCCTAGGTGCAAATATTTCCGTTTCTTGGGGCTATTGAGGTTGGCAAATCCATAATTATGTTCTCTTGGTTTGGTAGTTACATGAAATGGAAGCCATGTCCCCCCGCAGCCCCATGCGAGCGGGTTTACCCCTCCACGCGCTGCCTGGCTGCCCCGGCCTCGCGCTGCCGGGAACTTGTGCAACCAGGGCCGAGCAAACAGGGCTCTGCCCCTTCCAGGACGCGCTGTCCGGAGCCCGGTGACGCAGCAGGGCGAAAGCCGAAGCGGCTCCCGGCACGCGGGGCAGCGGCGCCCGCGAGCTCCCAGCATCCTGGCGAGCGGTACCTGAGGGCTGAGGGCCAGACTTAGCCCCCCAAGTAGGAATAAGTCGGGTTTCAAAGTCAGCTTGGGGCAACGCTGGCTGTTTGCAGCCCTGAGAGCGGGAAAGCTCCGCGCCGCGGGCAGGAAGCGCCAGGGATGGCGCTGCCTCATGGCAGCTCCTCCGCAGCCGGGTGCGATCCCGGCCACGCGGCGCAGCGGGAGCACCGAGCTGCCGGGGCTCGGCCAGCCTCTGCTCCCGGGTCCTCACGAAGCA